GATGCCCCACTGAGCACAGACCTCTATGTGGGGCTCAAAGCCTCGACCCTGAGATCACGACCTGAGCCAAAATCAAGTCAGACTCTTAACCGACTGAGCCCCCCAGGTGCCCCTACACATGTGTTTTGTTTTGTTTTTTTAAAGATTTTATTTATTTATTTGACAGAGAGAGACACAGCGAGAGAGGGAACACAAGGAGGGCGAGGTGGGAGAGGGAGAAGCAGGCTTCCCACTGAGCAGGGAGCCCGATGCAGGGCTCGATCCCAGGATCCTGGGATCATGACCTGAGCCGAAGGCGGACACTTAACCGGCTGAGCCGCCCAGGCGCCCCATGCACACGTGTTTTTAGTGCTTCATTCTTTTTTCACTGCTGTGTTAGAGACGAGATCTCTTGCCCAACGTTCCATAGGCAGGATTTGAGACCAGGCGATCTCCTGTCCTGTGCCTTCCCCAGGTGTGGATGACACTGTCACCATGCTCCTCCAGTACCCAGGAGAGATCCACGCCAGCTTCACCTGCAGCATCTCTGCTCAGCTCTCCAGTATGGCCTTTGTGAGCGGTACACCAAGGGCATGGCCCAGGTGGGGCACGACTGGCCAAGCTGGGAACCGTGGCCCCTCACAACAGGAGTGGACCAGTTGTGGTTGTTGGAGCTGGCTATGGGCTGAAGCAGCCTTTTCCCCCAGCATTGCTAAGGAATCCATCATCAACCACCAGGACAAGGGATGGGTTTGGACCTCCAGGCTCCTTCCTGAGGGTGAACTTCCTGGTCTGTCAAAAATCCTTAGGCCTGGGGAGAAACCGGTTCTTATGAACCATTCCTAGGGGGCAGCTGTGGCCTTTGGAATTGCTTCCAGGACTGGATCCAGGCATTACCAAAGAGCGGCTTCGTTGGGCTTCATGGAGCCCTGTTGCTAGAAAGAAATCCTGTTCTTAGCAGAAGAATTTGGACCTTGCCCCAGGCTTGAACTGCAGAATTTGGACCTTGCCTGGGCACATCTCTATTTCCAGTTTGGCCTAGACTTGGGTATGGGAATATTGTAGGCTTCCCAGGGCTCTGGGGCCAAAAAAAGAATCAAGTCTCCAACTAGGTAAGAAGGTACTGGATTGTCTAAGTCTCCTCCTTGCAAGGGAGATTCACACACATGTGAAGATAAGCTGTCCTCATGAGGTCTAAGCATCAGGTTAGAGAGGGGTTTGCCCCTGGGGAGATGGACAAGCTTCTATTGTGACCGTCCTGCTGCTGAGAAGTGAATCCTCAGCAATGGGGGTGAGGGGGGCAAGTCTTCCTACCAGCCCCTAGCCGCCAGGTGTGAGACGGAGGCGCCCAAATATCATTAGGCTGGAGCCCCCAGTAGCCACCTCTTCTCTCCCCGCAGATCCTCAATCCCTTCTGGTGCCCAACAGAGCTGGTGGTGAAGGGAGAACATGAGGAGTTCCCACTGCCCCCAACCCCAAGCAAGGAATTCAATTTTACAAATGGAGCAGGCATGGTTTATGAGGCCAAGCATGTCCGGGAGTGCCTGCGAAAGGGTAAGGATGTGGAGGATGGGTGAGAGAGTGGCAAACCTGGTAGTGGAGGTGGGCCACTCCCCAACCCTCAGCCACTCTAAGTAGCTGTCTAGAACTACAATTCCCAGGACGGCCTGGGGCATCCATCTGCCTGAACCATGCATTACTCTGCCTCTTGGGATTCTGGGAATGGTAGTTCTTTTGATCTTGGAGGTGTGAGTAGGAGGGGCCCCTAACTGTACTCTCCCCAGGCCTGAAGGACAGTCCTGTGATACCCCTGGTGGAAATTGAACTCCTGGCTGACATCCTTGAAGAAGTAAGGAAGGCCATCGGAGTCACCTTCCCCCAAGACAAACGCTGATGCATGCCGTGAATAAATAAAGACATGGTTCCCACAGAGATCTTGGCAATGGTGGTTTGGTGGGAGCTGGAGCAAAGAAGTCACCAAAGGGGTCACTAGAGAATAAATTTGGTAGAAGGATGTGGGGAGGGGGAGGAAGGCAGGGTCAGGACCACATTTCTCACAAGTTCTTGGAGCAGACACCTATGGGCCGATCCTTGGTTTGCCTACCATACCCTGTGTGACCCTGGGCAAGGAACTGCATGTGGGTAGGAGGTGTGTCCCTAACTGCACTCTCCTGCAGCCTCTCCCTGCCCCTGTTTCCTCATCAGCAGAGGAGAGACAGTACAAACCACCCTCTGGTGAGGATTAAATGAGATGGTATATGAACAGCCTGTGGTGCACGGTACATTCTCAACAAATGTTAACTGATGGCCCTTCGCTTTGAGGTCAGGCCTTTCCCAAACTGGTCTCTAGAAGCTCCAGTCCTCCATTATGGTACCAAAGTCATTTCAACTGGAAAGAAGGGATTTGTCTTCAGTTTCTTTCTTTTTGTTATTTTTTTAAGATTGTATTTATTTATTTGAGAGAGAGAGAGGCCGGCTCCCCACTGAGCAGGGAGCCCAACATGGGGCTCGAATCCCAGGACCCAGGATCATGACCTGAGCCGAAGGCAGATGCTTAACTGACTGAGCCACCCAGGTGGCCCTTGCCTTCGGTTTCTTTTTTTTTTTTTTTAAGATTTTATTTATTTATTTGAGAGCGAGAGAGAGCCCAAGAGGGGGTAGGGTCAGAGGGAGAAGCAGACTCCCTGCTGAGCAGGGAGCCCTACGTGGGACTCGATCCCGGGACTCCAGGATCATGACCTGAGCCAAAGGCAGTCACTTGACCAACTGAGCCACCCAGGCACCCTTGCCTTCAGTTTCAATGGCCTTATTGGCAAAGCCTGGGTCATATGCCCCTCTGTGTGGCAGGTTTAGGATGTCCGTCCCACTAAACTTAAATTACAAGCAGTTGGAGGGGGGCTATATGTGGGTGGTTGGCCAGCCAATTAGGGTTAGCTCTGTGCTGCAAGCAAGGTCTAGCTTTCATATTTTTCTGTAATAGTTTGTGTAGGTTAGGTTATGCTGCAGTAACAAACAGCCCTCAAATCTCAACCTAGCATAACAGGTTTACGTTTCACTGGAGTTATGTATTAGCTGAGATCTATATACCTGGTATCTAGGCTGACAGAGCCACTAAAATCTGGAGTCCTGCCAATCACCGTGGCCAAGGGAAGAAAGCTTTGGAGGCTCTGGTACCAAAACTTAAATGCCCTAGCACATAAACAACATACATAATCTCTTGTAATTCATTCGCAAAAACTAGCCACACAACCTTGATGAGCCAGAGAGAGAGTCCAGGAAGTCCAATTCTACCAGGTTCTAGAAGATAGAGAGGATACATTGGGTTTACACTAATAATTCTCACTTTGAGCAAATGAGACAGACTAGACATCGGTCAAATGAGTTTTCTATTATTTTCTATTCCAAGTGCCATTATATATCATTAAGCTATCACTACACTGGTCTCAGTCCTCTGCTTGCTTGGTTTCCATCTTTTCTGTGGCAAACATGGCTAATGTCTCTGTAATCATTCACTTACGATGCGAAAGTTTTCACTGGACGTACGGCTGCCCAGCTAAAGACTACATTTCCCAGGCCCCCTTGCAACTAGGTTCTGGCCAATGGGAGGTATGCAGCATCTGAGTTACGGCTTTTTTTAGGCAAAGAGGATGGTCTCCCTTTCAACCTCTCCCTTCCTGGTACTGGAGTAGAGATGTGGTGTTGGGCATTGGCGTGTCCGTCTTACACCATGAGATGGAAGCCATGTTTGCAGATGGTGGAGTCACAAGCTAGAAGGATAGAAGAAAGACACGACCTTGGAGGTGGGCAGGCCCTGAGGTCTGCAGGGTGAGTTGGCAACCTGGAGACCCAGGAGAGCCAATGTTTAGTTCTAGTCTCAAGTCCAAAGGCCTGAGTACCAGGAGAGCTGATGGTGTACTTCTCATCAGAAGGCCTGCAGCTTGAGATGCAGGAAGAGCTGATGTTTCAGTGTGAGCCAGAAGGTAGGAAGAAAGCGGATGTCCCAGTTCAGAGGCAGTCAGGCAGAAAGAATTCTTTCTTACTCTGAGGAGGGTCGGCCTTTTTGTTCTATTCAGGACTTCACCTGATTGGATGGGCTCACCCGCATGAGGGAACATAGTTTGCTTTACTAAGTCACCAATGTAAATGTTAAGCTCACCCAAAACACCCTCACAGAAACACCCAGAAAATGTAAGATCAGATTTCTGGATACTCTGTGGCCCAGCCAAGTTGACATAGAAAGTTAAGCACACACTCCCTGACACTGGAACTTCACTCCATATGTTCATATCGCTTGGTATTGCATATTCTTAGACTTTACATGAGAGGTCAATAAGCTTAATCGATGTTTAAGTCACAGTTATGTTAACTTTTCCTAAAGCAGCTGAATTGGTCTGCCACCTTACTATTTTCCAAAGATCTCTCCTGCCCCCACTCACTTCCCCCATGAAGAGTTGGAGTTCCTCTAGTTCCTCTCCTCTTAAAACTGAGTGTGCTCATGACTCAATCGTAGCCGCTGCAACATGGCAGAAGGTCAAGCCCCATGACTTGTGAGGTTGTCGGGCAAGGCAATGCAATGTCTTTCTTGTGAGCTGAAATACTCTTGAAACCTTCAGCCATAATGTCAGTAGTCCAGCTGTCCTGAAGCCACCAAGCCACAAGAAAGATTGAACCAACCCACACAGAAACCACATGGAAAGCCTAGAGACTCCACGAAGATAGAGATGCTCAATCAGCAGGTCCTGACCACTACGGACTCTACTGTTCCAGCTCCAGCTCCTGTCCAACTGAAAACACTGAGCGACCCCAAGCTGGAACTACCCAGCTAAGCCTTCCCCAATTCCATTACCCACAGGCCTGTGTAAGATAATAAGATGATTCCTGTGATTTGAAGCTGTTAAGCTCTGGGATGATCTGTTACACAGCAATAGCTAACCGGAACACCTGATATCACAACTTTTACATCATGAGAGATGGATTCATTTTTAACATGTCTAAGCAAAACTGGAACCCCCAAATCCTACCTGGTACTGGAGTAGAGACGTGGTGTTGGGCATTGGCGTGTCCGTCTTACACCATGAGATGGAAGCCATGTTTGCAGATGGTGGAGTCACAAGCTAGAAGGATAGAAGAAAGACA